TTTTTTGTGAAACCTTCCAAGCGCGAAAAATTGCCAAATTGCCGATGTCAAATTGTGGAACTAGGCATGCCATTTCGGCCTCCGGTTGCTGCCCTTCCTCAAAACCTGCCCGAACTTACAGGGGGGGGTATTTCCTGCTGTCGGAGGGAGTGGTGGTTTAATTCAATTTATTTCGTGCAAAAAAAACATCAAAATTCTACGTGACAACCTGTTGGCTTTCTGATCGGCAGAAGTACCCTGACTGAAAAAAGTGCAACATCGGGCAACAACATTGGCTTTCTGATCGACAAAAAAAGTACCTTATGGCCACGCCTTAGCCCATCGAATGAATCCACAGGCGCCAGACCTTCGCACCGCTCGTGTGAGGCCTCATTGTTGCACTTCAACTGCCAACATACCATCCGCCGCACTAAGGGCACCGAGAGTGTCATCCATCAAAGCGAAATTTCAATTTTCTCCCGCACATCCGTGATTCACTGCCATCATCAACGATCCTGCTGGGCAGGTCTCGGTGCACCTCTCATTCGCACACTACTTCCCTCCCGATCAAATGTTTCCAACTCCTCGTTAAAGCTACACCCCTGCCGCAAAGGACGCCATCAACTACTAATGAGACCGTGTCGGGTGTGACGTGCACAAATCATGCCAAACAACCTTGTAAGCAGGGTTACCTGACCGAACGTTTGGGGGCCCTCGGGCTGGCCCCCGAACGCCCGAACACCTCCAGGTTCGGCCCCCGCCAAAAAAAAAATTCGAGGCCTAAAAATAAGTTTTTTTTTCTGAATTTTTTTTTGTGAGTTCTCTATGATATAACGTACACGCCTATACATTTAAAAGCCATTCTGCTAAGCCAATAAACATTAAAAATCGTCAAAGATGGGGGTGTCAAAACGTGCTCGCCCACTCACTATTTCGTTTTTTTTCACTTTTAACTTTTTGTTTTCACTTTATTTCCAGGCCCAAAAAAAATTATTATTTTTTGAAAAACAATTAATGAGTTATTGATTATGTAAACTACATCTCTGTAAATTTTCAGGGCATTTGTCAATGCCAAAAAATAATTTTAAATCGGCAAAGATGGCGGTGTTGAAAAGGTGCTGGCACACTCACTCATTTTAATTCTCTTTTTATTTTTTCTTATTTTTATCATAGTGTTTTTTTTTTTCTGTATTTGATTTTTAATTCAAATTTGGTAAAGAATTTGGATGTAGTGCCCAGGCAAATGTTGTTTAGTTTTTTTTCTCCATAACATATTTTGTTTTCGGAATTTTTTAAAAACGTTTTTTTTTTTTTTTTTTTTTTTGTTATTGGTCCGCGTTCGGCCCAAACGGCCGAACGCTTTCCGAAGGGGTCCCGTACGTTCGGGCGTTCGGGTTTGGGCGTTCGGCCCATCCCGAACGCCGGCAACCCTGCTTGTAAGGGTTTTGGTACGACAACAAATAGCAGCGGGTGACATGCGAGAGCCGTCGATCCTGCTTCGATCTATCGGCTTATAATATTTGGGCCTAGGTTTATTAATGGCATGGTTCTGTTTTTATTTTACATCATATTAAAATGATATGCATGAAGTTTCCTGAGCATGAAGATGTGCCATGGAGGAGCGCGGGAAGCTGAGCAATCTAGCCCATGCGGGGGTAGGGTAGATATCTCTACGACTTGCTCTTCCTTATGGCGAGGCCTTGCTCTGCTTTGACTTTCCATGCACGTGGACAGCGAAAATGGCGCAGCTGACGGATACAAAATGAACAACCCGACGGCAATGTGTCAGAGACCCCGCATGAAACACAGTGCGTATATAGGTCTTTGGCACACCGTAGGATGATCGTGGTCGACTTTGTAGTTGGTGTTGGCGCGTGAATGAAAGTGCACACCCCGCCAGGACCCGTTTTTTCAGCAGTGCTTTACACAGAGAGTATATTTCTCGATTTAGGTCCCATTTTTTCAGCAGTGTTTTACACAGAGAGTATATCTTTCGATTTTTCTTTTTGCGCATTTCCGAAGGCCGATTAAGCCACCAGTACCTCCACGTTCTTGGGCCGTTACCACGGTGGCTGAGTCAGTGCGCCACGCGAGTCCATATGCATCTGCGTCACAGCCTCTGCAAAGGGGGCCTAAGACCCCCTCGAGTAAAAGATGCATACAACACTGTCACACGGTTGAGATAACTCAACTTCGAGACAGTAGGGGGGATCAGGCCCCTGGGGGTTCCTCCCACTAGAAGCTTGTCCCACTAGAAGCTTGTCCCACTAGAAGCTTGTCCCACTAGGAGAGTTGAGTTCCCTCATCAGTTGAGGAAACTCAATGCAACTCTCTGCACATCTCCACAAACAATGTCCAGACTCGGGTGTTACGGAAACTCAATGCTGCTACGGTCTTCACCAGAACAGAACGCCCAGGCATTATAGCTGTATTGAGGGCAACTTCCAGTCCAGAAGCAGCTATGGACGTTGGGTTTGTGGAGATGTGCAGAAGTGGCATTGAGTTTCCTAAACCGTGCCTGCCTTTCCACAACCACGTCCAGAGTGGGGCGTCCGAATAGAACGCCCAGTCATTATAGCTGCATCTGGACTGAAAGTTGCTCTAAATACTGCTATATTGACCGGGCAGGCATTATAGCTGTATCTAGGGCAACTTTCAGTCCAGATGCGGCTATAATACAGCTACAATGACAGGGCAGGCATTATAGCTGTATTTAGAGCAACTTTCAGTCCATGTGCAGCTATAATCTATTCGGAAGCCCGACTCTGGACGTGTTTGTGGAAAAGTAGGCACAATTGAGGAAACTCAATGCCCCTTCTGCACATCACGTGTGAGCTCAATGCCAAACTCAATGCTGCTACTGTCTTCACGGCAGCAGCACACCCGGGGCATTATAGCTGTAGTTGAGCAACTTTTACTCCAGATGCAGCTATAATGACTGGGGCGTTCTATTCGGGTGAGGATGGTAGTGGCACCCGGGGCATTGTAGCTGTACTTAGAGCAACTTTTAATCCAGATGCAGCTATAATGACTGGGGGGTTCTATTCGGGTGAGGATGGTAGTGGCACGACGCCCCTGATCCATTGCATAAACGCCCCTAATCCATTGCATAATGCAAACTCGCTCAATCACCTGCTTTCCAAGAACAGCAGCAAACAATAACCAAAACAGACAGACAGCTCCATTTTTTTCTATTTTCTTTTATTTTTTGGGAAAGCAGCAAAGATCAAAGAACCTGCTACAAAAAAAAGAAAAAAAAAGAAAAAAAAGAAGAAGAAGAAGAAGAGAACCTGCTACTCGATGAGGGGTGGGGGACGATTAGAAAGGGAGGCGCAGCTACTGGCAAAATGCTCGGTCTTTGCATTAGCCGGACCCCCACAGGCGGCCCCACCCCACCTCTGACTACCGCTGTTGGGGCGGGGGGCAACATGAATTACCTCGTTTGCGAGGCCCTATGCTTGCAAGGTTCCCCTCTATATAGTCTTAGGAGTAGTGGTAGGAAGGTAGTGAAAGGAGAAAAAGAATTTGAGATAAGAACATAGTGTAGTTTTAAAGAAAAAAAAAAAAAAAAAAAGAACCTGCACCTGTGGCACACTTAGTGCCAACCGATGGTGATGGTCCGCTTGATACCTCTGATCGTTATTAGCAGGGTCCATGGGCCAACACAGGTGGGAGTGTGAGTGTGAGTGGGTTGTGTGTGGTGTGTGGGCGAGTGTTGGCCTTAGACACTGCTGTTATTCGGTAGGGGCTGGGTGATGATGGAAAGGGAGGCGCAGCTATTGGCAAAATGCTCGGTCTTTGCATTAGCTGGACCCCCACCGGCGGCCCCACCCCATCCTTGACCACCATCGTTGGGGCGGGGGGCAACGTGCATCCCCTCTGATGGCTGGAGGGAGACAACAAAGCTATGTTTGCAGGGTTCCCCTGTATAAGTAAGCCTTAGGAGTAGTGGTAGGTAGGTAGTGAAGGTGGATTGAAAGAATTTGAAAAAGGATGAAAGATTTGAGAGAAGAATATAGCGTAGTTATATATATCTATTTGTGACGATATATATATGACGATATATATATATATATAAGAACCTGCACGTTTCAATCAAAAAGGAAAAAAAACAAAAAAACAAAAAAAAAACAAGCAAACAACTGCACTACTTTTGGTTGGTTTGGCCTTTCTGTCCATGTGGGGATTACCTTTTTGGCAGGTAACGATCTGTGGCAGTTTTATAAAAAAAAAAAAAAAAAAAAAGACAAGCACTTTAGTAAAACTGTTTCAACAAGGCCGGGGACCTCACAATTCGACCCGGATAAACCATACTGAAAGAATCAGCCAGCTTCTCTTAAGCTTCAGATGAGTATTTAAAACTAGGAACAACAGTTTTATTTCCAAGGTTGGGCGTTATAAGGACAGTGGTCTATCTTTTTTGACCATGGCCATTTCTGTCTCTGGATATGATCCTGGCGCCTGCACCTATGCTGGGTAATGGTCCCAATACTCTTATGTTTCCTTTTCCTTTTACGGGTTGATTGTTGGGGTTTCCGGGCCTCTACTTTGTTGTGTAATCAAATGAGCGGAGTCTTTTTGACAACAAAAAAAAAAAGCAAAAAAAACTGCGCTTTCTCGTGGAAACAAAAAACCTATGGAAAGCTAACTATTATGCGAGAATTGAGCCCTCGTGGGGCCCTTGTCAAACATGCACATGTTCTGGGCAGAGGCCCTCAGCAAGCCAAGTGCCCGCGGACCTGAATATTCACTAGAGCCCAAAATTTGACATTTTCTTTTCTTCTTCTTTTTTTTTTTTTTTTTTTTTTTTTAAGAGAAACAGCCCTAACAGTCACTAGTGTTGACATTTTCCATATGTGGGTACTCAGGCTGTTGCAGCACTCCAGTTGGTTGAAGGGAAGCGTGACGCTCCCTAAGCTGCGTCGTTCAGTTTGGCCCAGGCACTCGTTCAGTTTGGCCCAGGCACTGGTAGTTGCGCCGGTTCGCGGCGCTAATTTTAGCGCTCGGTTCCGCCGCCGCCGGTCGAGAAATCCTCGGCCGACCTGCTCCGCGATGACCTGCTATCGCAGTAGGTACATTGCCATGGCCTAACCTTCCACCCTTCCTCAGAAGAGTAACACGGCTTCGTCGTGGGAAGGAAAAGACCAGGAGCAGCCTACAGTCACTGGACTCGATTGCTAGCACATGCACACGGATATGCACACGGACATAGCGCGCGGAAGACACGTGCGTTGATACCACAGCTACCGTAGTCTATAACCCACTTGGGCGCATAGCTATGGAGGCGTCACAACAACCGACAGGAGCGCTAAGGGGGGGGGTGCAAGGAACTATTCCCATCCCCCTAGACCCTTTGGGCGATAGAGTGATGGAAGAAGTCGAACAAGCTGGAGCGAAGGAAGTAGAGAGAGACAACGCAGCACCCGAAGACGAACGGAGGAGATCTCCTCCACCAGCGTTCACAGACTATTCAAGGGACGAGCCAAGGATTCGGCACATGATGGAGATGTGCTACGACATGGGGGTGATGCCTCCAGACATCGATGTTGGGGAAATGAGGGAAGATGGCTGTAAAGTCACCTTCATCCTTAACTCTACTATCGATGAAATCAAGTTACGATGGCTGAAGGAACGGTCAGTAACAGTCATTTTTCAAGACGGCTCCAAAAATTTACCCAAGAGAGTCAAGGAGGAGGTCATCCGAGCTTATGAGGACACCTGGGTGAGGGAGAGGCTTTTTGACTCGGCAATCTCTCGAGGGCGAGTCAAGATGGAATCGGCGAACGTGCTAACTTATATTGCCAAGGACGCTAGAGTGGCGACATGGAAGAAGGAGAAAGAGATAGACAAGATCTTGCTGAGAAGGAAGTGGCACACTATTGCATTCAAGCCTTGGCTGACCAAGACTGAGTTGGAGGAGGAGCGCCGCCAAGAGCAACAAAAATACTTCTGGATACCATGCATCGACGTACCTGTCGACGCATATTGCTATCTGCATTCGGCAGCTTCGAGATCAATCGGAGAGGTGCATCGAGTGTACCCCCCAGAACGAGACTCTCAGAAACCTCAGTTAATCAACGTACGCCTGGATATTGTCGCGGAAGCACGAGAAAACATCAAAGACTCGCTCTCTTTCGTGACCTGCCAGCAGCAGGAAATCACGGTCGCAGTGGCAACAGCGCTGACTCCATGGTGCGACACCTGCCGGATTTTTTTCCATCTTCCGGCAACATGTCCACGGAATCGCTCAAGACCTAGGCAGCAACGCAGCGGAAGTAACGACCGCCAATCGGAAAGGAGAGAGAGATCCCCCTCAATGGAGGATAGGCGATCCAGAGAGAGGAGGCGGTCGCCTTCCCCAGCACCATCGGAGGACTCAGTGTCATCATCGGAGTCTCGAGGACCTAGTGTAATTGGAGGCGGAGGGGGCGCTGGAGGCCGCCCGAACGCGGATGCTGAGTCACCTGACATATGGAATCGAAGAATGGATGGAGATCGAAGACAAAGCAGGAGTGGCACCGAGGATGGAGCGAGGAACGGAAGACCGGGAGAAGACCGGGGAGGCAATGGAAGGAGGAGCAGAGAAGTAACGAAAGGGGAGAATAGCCAGAATCAATGAAGACAGCCCCATGGAAGCCCTACACGACAACCCCAATCTAGGTCACCGTCAAGGCCAGGAGGGCGACCCCCGCCAAGTCCGTCCTACTCAGGACCACTCCCTCCGCCGGGAGGCGGGAAGGGTAACGGTCGGGATGGGTCTATTAGGTCAAACCCACTTTTCGGAGCCTCTGGAGGCGATGCCCCAACAGGGTTGGTATCAGTTGAAGCGGCAGCGGTACTGGCGAATCTAGGCCAGCACGGAGGAATCTCACACAACGCCAAGCACTCCAAAGGAAAAGGAAGCGGCACGGGTGAGGGTGGGGGCGAAGGCTCCCCCCCCCCCTCCAACCTCTCGACGTCGATGCCGAGGCAGCGCAGCAGAACTCCGACCAAGATGCGGAAATTAAGCGAAGATTTGTCCAGGGCGGCCATTGCATCAGCGACAACGGAAGCGGAAGATTCCTACTACTCATCTCCGAAGTCTGAGCATGAGGGAACAGGTAAGCTCACGATCAGAGGGAAGACAACCAGAAATCGGAGGCAGATCACGTTAAAGAAAGGTAGAATGGAAGACTGGCCGAAGAGGTTACTGCCTATTCTGTGCTTGCAAACCAAGGAAGGTTTATTTACAATTGCATGGCAGGATATGGCAGATGTCACGTGGATACCATCGCAGGCGATTACAAATCCGCCTACACCGCTAGATGTTATTAATATAACTAGGTCTTTGTACGGAACAGACATTGCGGTAAAGTGTATCCCTGACACTCCCACACCGAAGTTCTTCCCTGAATCCGAAACTGCTCGCGCCAAGATTTTTGCCCCGCTTTTAGATGCCAGGGTAAGTCAAGACCAGCTGGTTGTCTTGGTAGCAAAGGGGATGGTCTTGTTGCCGGCGGAATGGTTTGTAAACGAAGGGTCGCAAGATCTCGCTCGGATATCCATAATTAGTGGGATTAACGCCGGGTTTTTGGGTAAGTTGAACAGCAAATTGCACAAATCAAGAGACCTTTTCTCGGCCCCGATCCGCCAATTTCTCATGCAGGACTGGTTGTTGGGGACCAAAGTCGAAGTCCAGCTGAAGTCGAACCCTCTTCCCGAATCCATTCTTCGTCCGCAATGGCGATAAGGAATGGAAGGAATTAATATCGGCTTGTGGAACGTACGGGGATTGGGAGATACTGGCGGAAGGAGCAAACATAGCAGAATCAAATCATGGGTCCATAAAGAACGCGTGCATATCCTGTGTATGCAGGAAACTAAGTTAAATGAGCAGAAGATAGAGCAGCTTGGAGCGTGGTGGGACGGCCCCCAGCTTTGGTCTCCCTCAGTAGGGTCTAAGGGTGGAACGTGTATATTGATCCATAGGGACTTAGACGCAGAGATCGTGGATTGGGACCGGGATATGTGGGGTCGATGGGTTTGGATTGTACTTCGATCGCATAACCGTACTTGGGCAATTGTAACAGTTTACGGACCTGCAGAAAAAGAGGACAGGACCGCGTTCTTGGAACTCTTGAGAGAGGTCATTCCGACAGTAGATTCGTTAATCCTTGTAGGCGATTGGAATGTTGCTATTGATGGCGCTAATCCCACCTTCTCAAATGCAGAATTTGGAAAGGAAGTGGAATCACTCCTTAATTTATCGTGGGAATTTGACCTAGTGGACCCCTTTCGGCTAATGAATCCAAATAAACCCGGGTTCACTTGGTTTTCTTCGCAATTGCAGTCAGGCAGACCGGTGGCATGTCTCGGCCACACCCGGGACTGGCCACGGCCGAGATGTCTCGGCCACAACCCAGATTGGCCACGGCCGAGATGTCTCGGCCACAGCCGAGATTGGCAGGCACTAACCTTCACAGGCAAACGTGAAGTCTCAAGAGTAGCCTACTCCGAAGAAGTGGGGGGCTCGGGGCAGGGATGGAGGCAAAAAAAAAAAAAGAAGAAAAAAACAAAGTAAAGAAACGAGGAACTTAGAATCCACCTACGTCGGAAAGGCCCTCAGGTCACTGGTGCTTTGAGGAATGTATCTGGCCAGGAAGTGAGGAACATGAAACAGGTCGATTTCCTTTTTTGTTTCTTGTTGTGAGGTCCCTGTAGCGCCCTGCCAGCCAGGCAGGGCGGACTCCACGCTTCATTGAGTTCCAGACAAGAACTGTAGCATCCTGTATCGGACCGCACAGCATAAGGGATTTTTTTTATTTTTTTATTTTTTTATTCGTGGATAGACGAGGGCCCTAACTGAGCTGCGTAGGGCAGAGTTTCAACTGCAATTGAAACTCGGGCTGAGCTTCAACTGCAATTCAAACTCGATCCCTGACGAAACTGCTAAAACGCAGTTTCGAATGCAATTACAAACTGTTTTGGTGACTGCGCCGAAGTTACCCCAAAAAACAAATCTGTCTGGAAGACCCTTCTACCGACAAACGACGACTGTCACAATGGAACACTCGAACTTGCGAGATATTCTCGACCATGGGCGCCCGTGATTCTCATTGCCCTGCAACCTGCTAATGAAGTGCACCAGCACGCTGTAAACATTCCAGTGAACGCTTGGGTCTGCACGCTCCCGAACCGCCGATTTCGTTGAAGTTCATCCCGCGGCCCTCCCTCATTTTCCACACACTTTGTGGCACGCAGTGGACCATCGGCTGTGCCCCCGCGACCAATGCTCCATAAGGGTTAGGATATAGGAGGGCTTCCATTTCCAGCTTGGAGGGCTTTTTCATCTTGGAGGGGTACCCTTGTACCTGCAGAGCTTCATCTGAAGCTGTATTTGGCACAATAATTACGTGGACTCTTTGAAGTTAAAAAAAAAAAACAAAAAAAAAACGTAGCAGCCTGGAGGTGAAGGTAACTCGTGTCAATGGCGGATGTCAGTGGTGGATGTCAGGCAGAAGGTATATACAACTGTACACTGACAGCAGACGCAGCTGCAAGGTATGCTGACTTTCACTGCGACTTCATTGGATGAATAGAGAGTGCCTTCTGGATGCGAGAATGTCACTTTTCGGGCATACTCACACCCCGGCTTTTCTAAATGTATCTGACTGCAATTACAGACGACGCACCTGAATGAACGTGACCGATATCATGTGCACAGCTTAGTAGAAAAGGTCCTAGTGTAAGCTACTTTTCCTTTCCGTCTTCTCCATCATATTCTGAACTTCAATCTTTAGGCCTCCCTGCCTCGTAATGAGCTACATGATCACTTTTTTTTTTTTTTTTTTTTCAAGCTCCGATCTATTCGTGGGGAGTGGGGAGCAGCACGTGCTGGGAACTGGGCCCAGCGTCCCTTATAATTGGAATACAATACTTGATACTGGTTCAGGATGATTTGAGGATGATTCCAAATGATTCTGGCTGATTCAGGAAGATTCAGGATGATTCAAAAGGCTATGCCCTACTGGATATCACTTTGAACAGGAAAAAAGGAAAATTCACTTTGTACATGGGACCCCACCCACGTCTTGGATTTCCTTTAAAATTGATTCTGAGATGCGACCCCTGGTGCCAGGACCCACAAGCGCCGTATTATGCCGTGTACGTACGGTTTTCAATCACATGTGACAGAGTTGGATTGCTACACGCCATCGATGGAGGGGAAATCGTGCGGCATTCTGCGAAAATGTTTTGCCTGTGTATCGTACGCACTTTTGCCATTTGTTCCTTTTTCATTTATTTCAAAATCCCTGTAGCAACGTCTTGTTTTCCAGACTATTTTGACCTTGCTACAGTGCTTCAGTGCAGAAAAAAGTCGTGAAGGCGCAATATTGTGACCTTGGTACAGTGCTTCACGTGCACAAAAAAAGCCGACAAAAAAAAACAAAGTCGTGTGTACTGCCGAATATCATAATGACCTGACAGCAACCACCTTCAGAGGACCCAGTCCATTGGCTGAGTGCAGCACACACCCAAAAAAAGCGGCGACGAATTCCATGGCTCACACCCATTGGCTGACGGGAGCACCCGGAGCTCAATTTTACTTTCTTCAACTCGCAGAAAGTGAGTTTTGCAAATCTGAAAAAAAATACAGAAACCATGTTTCAAATGCCAAAAGGGTGTCAGACGCCACTGTCCCACGGTATACTACCGTGCTTGTGGGTCCTGGCCCGGATGTGTTTCTTTTGTCGTGTGATATTACGCATTACATCATTGCTGCGTTCTTTTTCATGTTTTTCCACCATGTGATAGTACGCATTACATCCTGCTAGCCAGATCCTGTCACAAACATAGCGTCATACCTGAAGTAAAAAAGACAGAGAAGCGCATTGCCTTGGGCACAGCTTGCGATAGCCCATCTTAGGCAAAAAAAACAAGAAAAAAAGGTGCCTGAAAAGACAGACAACAGACATGAAAATTTTCAATGTGAACTCGACCACACCACAACATTCTGGTACATGAACAGCCTTTAAGTTTTCCCTTTAGGGCTTTACGCCTCACGCCCTGTAGCGCGGGATTGTCAGATCCGGCGGCCATGCATCTACAATCAAATCGGGAAAAAAGAACTGGGACAGAGTGTACCTGACTACTAATGGACCAACCACAGAGTCCCTCAGGTGCATGAGGCACCAGAACAATAAGTACTGACAGTCCTCATCCACAGTCCTCGTTTCTAGGCCATGTGACGCCCAACCTCACGCCCAGCGCGACTTCCTGATTGGAGTGGGATGTGGGCCTGGAAGTGCGAAAAGGGGTGTGCCAAGGATTTTTGGGAAAGTGGGGGAGTCTTAGGGGTATGGATGCAATTAAGCGAATAAGGGGCGTGTGCGCAAGGGACTCGAGGCCTGACCGGGCCTGGGTACTGTGGGCGACGGCTTACGGGGAAGTCCCTCCGCGGAGGAGGTGGTCCCGAAAAGTTGGGCCGTCCGGGGCCGCCACGTGGCGCTGGCCGCTGCGTGTTTGGGTTGGGCCTTCGGAATTCCGGGGTTCTCCGTTCGCCGCCACGTCGGCAATTTCCGCAGGGCGTGCTGGGCCAATAGGGGGCTATGGCCGGCCACGGAACGACGCTGAGTTGATGATACGGGAGATGAAGGCGAAAAGGAGGGAAACTGGTG